CGTGTGAGAGAGAGAGAGAGAGAGAGAGAGAGAGAGAGAGAGAGAGAAACGATATAGAAGAAGAGATGATGGAGAAGGAGAAAAATGTTTTTGCAATTAGGTTAAATCATTAAGGATATAACTGTCTTTATGTACAAAAAGAAGGGTATACTTAAAAATGCTCTCCTCACTAGGGCATTTTTAAAAATGTATTCCCCAAAAGGGGCATTTTTAAAATTCTCCCAAAAAATTAACCAGATATTTTTCCGGTTTTTAAACTCAACTTGTGTTTTTTTAACCAACAGAGTTAAATTGAGTTTTCGCTTAAACAAAGCTTTTTTGGACCAAAATGTCCATGCAACAAGCGAATTGGGCTGGGCTGGGCTTGACTGGACTGGACTGGACTAACCCGATCGATATATCAACGTGACTGTACATGTGTCATAAAACAATTGGTTCCGCTTACGCAGACGACAAGAGTTGTTCTTCCTCTTCTTATTCTTCATCTTCCTTTGGCTCGCGACTTCTCCTTTCTTAATGGAAGCTTAAGCCTTTTGATTCTCTCTCTCTCTGATTGTTACCTTCTCTAGCTCGCTCGTGATTCCTTCTTACATGTACGTTTCTCTTTGTTCCCCTGATATGTCTTGTTTGATCAAAGCCTCAATTTTTAGAGTAATGAGATTATTAAGAAAAAAAAAAGTCTCTCCTTTTCTGGGTTTTGATATTTGCGGTTTACAATGAAAACAATGAGATTTTTGTTAAAAAAATTGAAACTTTTTGTGATTTATATGTTGAAGCAGCTTGAAGACAATGATTCAGCTAAAGGTTTACGCAGGACTTAGTACCTTGGCAGCATTAGCTGTGATTTACCATGCTTTTAGTAGCAGAGGTCAATTTTACCCAGCGACTATGTATCTATCAACGTCCAAGATCAATTTGGTGGTTCTTCTCAACATGGGTTTGGTTCTAATGTTGAGTTTATGGAATCTAGTCAAAATTGTGTTTCTGGGTTCTCTTAGAGAAGCTGAAGTTGAGCGTTTGAATGAGCAAGCGTGGAGAGAACTCATGGAGATTCTATTTGCAGTCACTATTTTTAGACAGGACTTCTCTGTTGGGTTTATTTCTTTGGTTGTGACTCTTTTGTTGATCAAGAGTTTGCATTGGATGGCTCAGAAGAGAGTGGAGTATATTGAGACTACTCCTTCTGTTACTTTGCTCTCTCATGTTCGTATTGTTTCTTTTTTGGTTTTCCTTCTTGTCTTAGATTGTCTCCTTACGTATAGTTCTATACGGCAATTGATTCAGTCTCCAAAAGCTTCTATGTCTGTTTTCTTCACGTTTGAGTAAGTGTCCTTTGCTTCTTACTTATGATTTTGAGGTTTGTTGAGGAAGATTTGCTTAAGAGTTATGCAAGTTATACAGACAAATACATGTTTCTAGGAGCTTTAGGTTCTGTAAAGAATTTTGAAAATGTTTGAATCTGTGAAATATAGCCTAGTTACATACATATGAGAAGGATCTCTAATAAATCATCTGCCAAGATTTTGTATGGTCTACCCTATTTGGATAGCTAGTATGTTTGAAATATGCTTTATACAAGTGAAAGATGTAGGGGGTAATACAGACTGAAGAATAACTCTGATCTTTGTTTGAGCTCTTTAGGTGTCAGAGAAGAACTATATGGGAAACTATTACTATTGTGAATATGTTGTCTTGTGAACCTTACTTGCAGGCCTCTTAGATACTGTTTTTGTTACTAGGATCCTGGTTTCATCAACGCTGTAGTTAAAAACTTATGCTAGCTATTAAACACAAATGAAACATCTGTTGAAAATTGCTGAATATATGGGGGAAAGGTTCAGGGATTTTTATTTGTGATATTAGCTTTGTTGATATTTCATATTGTTTAGTTATGTATTCGTTTTTGTATTTTCCATCAGTTTAGCTGTTGGTTCTTACAAGTAAGTCATATTGAATTTTGCATCATACAGCCTAGCTTTAGACTAAGTTATGAATTTTATGTTGCAGGTATATGATTCTGGCAACAACAACTGTTTCGATTATTGTAAAGTATGCCTTCTATGTCACTGATATACTCAAGGAAGGTCAATGGGAAGGAAAACCAGTATACACTTTCTATCTAGAGCTTGTTCGTGACTTGCTTCACTTGTCCATGTATCTTTGCTTCTTCCTTATGATATTCATGTAAGTTTTTAGTTCATTCACTTCTATCATTATTGCAAACTTAGATGTTATACCACTAAAAGAAAAATGAATCCTGACTAATTTGCATGTTGACATTAGTGTGTCGCAAGTCATTATCGCCTTATCATTTACATTTTTGTTATTGCTAGGTACTTGTTTCAAGAGTTACTTCCATAAATTTATCATTTCAGTTATGTCCATCTAATGAGTCTTATCTTGGTTATATTAGTATGTCGCAACTCATTATCGCCTTATCTTTTACATTTTTTGTTGCTAGATACTTATTTCAAGACTTGCTTGCATAAATTTATCATCACACTTATGTCCATCTATAAGTCTTATCTTGGTTACATTTCATATATTTTTATGTGTAGACGTTGAAAATTGTAAATGAGAAGCAATAAGCCGTCAGAAAGCCAAAACAATATATCTACTGCATCTGTATATATGCAATTGACGGCATTTTAGTATTGTAATTTGTATCCTAATTCGAGTATCACTTTTTATTGCACAGGAACCATGGCCTTCCATTGCATCTGATACGGGAGCTCTACGAAACATTCAGAAACTTCAAAATTCGTGTGACCGATTACCTGCGTTATCGCAAAATCACTTCTAATATGAATGATAGGTTTCCTGATGCCACTCCTGAAGAACTGAGTTCGTAAGTTCCAGATATTCCCTCAGGATTGATATTTCCAAATATTCTAAATATCTTTTGAGCCGTTTGCAATTTTATTTACTTCATTATGCTTATATAGATGGATCAGTTACAATTCTTTTTCTGGGGTTGCAGAAATGATGCCACTTGTATCATATGTCGTGAAGAAATGACCACAGCAAAGAAATTAGTATGTGGCCATCTATTTCATGTGCATTGTCTTCGGTCATGGTTGGAACGACAAAACACATGTCCCACCTGCAGAGCACTGGTTGTGCCAGCTGACAATGCTACATCAACCGCTTCCGGAAACCGTGGAGCACCCCAAGAATCCCTGCAGCAGGGTACCAATTTCTCTATTCATACATTATTTCATAATGAATTTGTGGTCTATTTCGAACTCCGTGCTCCCAATTTTATTGGTCTCTTGAGTTTGAAAATGACATTATGTACTCAGCATGTCCAAAAGGTGAATCCTTTTTTAGTTTTTGTGAAATATCGAGACTAATGTTGCTCTACGTTCAAACAGGAATTGGTACTTCAAGTTCAGATGGCCAGGGATCTTCAGTAGCTGCTGCTGCCAATGAGAATATGAGCAGACACGAAGCTAGGTTACAGGCTGCTGCTTCAGCAGCCTCCATATATGGGAGATCCATTGTGTATCCATCTTCTGCAAACACACTAGTATGGTATGTGCGAAAGAGATAACATACAGCATCCACAACAAAAAACATAGTGACATGATCTAGTTTTAGCTGTTATGATGCTAGTTTCTATCTCATGTCTTAATTCCACTTGGACATTTCCATGTGATGCCTGTATGTGTCATGTCATCTCAGGGCTAAGCTTATTGTATTGAATCTTCTCTGTAACTTCTGTCATTTCATCCACTATATTATTTTAGAGAAAGAACTAACACTAAGAATGAACATATGAAGGCCTCAAGGTTATCCTCAGGCGGAGCTAGAAGCGCAGAGGAGTTATTTCGAGTCCCAGATCGAGGTACGTTAACATAACTTGTTCTTGTTAGCAGCTCAGAGTCTTTAGCGATTTGTTTTTCTCTCCGTAGGTCTTGCAAAACCAACTTCATCTTCTGGAGAAACCGACAACTGTAGATACGAAAGGAAAGTCTGTCGCGGAAACTGCAGAAATGAACCATTAAAGAACTCTGATAAAGACAAGTGAAACAGAAGTTTTAGGATTTTGGAGTAAAGAGAGAAACCTCAGAATGTGTGAATTGTTTTTGCTATAGAGAGGATATAAGAATGTAAATGTTGGGTGTCTCATCATAGAAGCTTGGAACACAAGTAGCAAAACTGGTCTTTTGTTAACTCTCTTTACCACAAGTATCTTCTCTATATTAGTTTTACACTCTCATATTAATATATCACGAACTGTTCTTCCCTTCTCTGATCAACTACACAGCTGAAAAAAATAAGATAAGCAAAGGATAATTTACATTTAAAGGTTTGAAAAAGAAAACAACAATGGGAAGAACGTAGTTTTAACAAAGGCTCGCGACGGGTCGGGTCGGATAATTTGGGTTGGGTATTTTCCGTTATTCGGATAGTTTGGAATTTGAGAAATTTTATCGATAATAACCAAATTAAATAACGGTTCGGTTTGGATATCGGGGTTTTCGGTTATTTTTCTTTGTTATTGAAATTAACTGAATAGTTTAAATTTTTGGTTAATTAGTTAAATCGGGTCGATTGTCTCGATTAATTGTGTAATTTCAGTTACTTCGATTTATTTGGTTTGGTTAGACCGGTTAATTTTAGGTAAAACAGATGATTTGGTTTTTTTGTTCGGTTAGTTTGTCTAATTTCAAGTAATTCGGTTAAATTTGGGTAACCGTCATTAAGGGCAAACCGAACCAAACGGAACCGATAATCGAGTATAATTTCGTCCGATCATTTTTTACTCTCAACCGAAATCGTACCAAAAACCAAAATCTTGGTTCAGTTTGCTATTTTTGGTTCGGGTAATAATCTCATGGCTAATTTTAATTTTAAGTGCTTTAAAAATAAAAATCAAATAGAATTTTCTTATATTTATGGTCATTGAAGTTTTTTTATTTATTCGGGGTTAAAAAGAAAAGTTGATTTTGCAAATTATTCCTTTTCTAATCAATAACTTATTTATCGGGTTTGGGCCGGGCTGGGTTTTTTAACCCCTGAAAACATCCCTATAAATATGAACACATATCAATTGAAACGACACGTTGAACTTGAAGCCAAAGAACAAAACGAAACCTACTCTTTCTTTCTTTCTTTCTTTCTTCTTCCCCTCGATTCCACTGAGTTCTTCGTCCGCCATTGAAACCTAAGCTTATTGAAACCCCTTGCTGTTTCGTCCGCCATTGTTGCTTCGTCTTCAATTGTTTTCGCCATTGCTGGCCACGGATTGAGCTTAATATTGTCTATCTCGAAGTGGATTTAGGTGAGTCTTGTTCTAAAATTCGATTTTGGATTATGAGAATTCGATTTTGGATCGAAGCTCTTTCATTGTTGCATTTCGTTGATGGCTTTTGAATCTTAGCTACTGAGTGAGCAGTGCCCCTTTGTGTTTGGTTGGGATAAACAATTCGTTGTGTGTGTTAGATGATCTTAAGATTGGTCTTGATTATTTATATATATGACAAGTCTACAGATTCGTAATTCTTGTTGGTGGTGAAGGTTTGCTGCGCCTAGGTTTTAGAGTGACCTGTAAAGAGGAGCGTCCATTAGGTGTATGAATCTTCCTTTGTGTGTACTAACTAATGTTTCTTTGTGTCTACTGAATCTTCCTTTATGAAATTCTTCTTCTTTTGTTGATTTTTCTTATGACTCACTTATGAATCTTCCTCTCTACTTCTCTCTGCAACTATTTACTAAACTCGTTGGGATCAAAAGATGCTAGCTTTGGAATCAGAATTTATAATTCCACTGACTGTTTTTGCTTTGATTTGATTTTCTATATATCTCCATTACAATGCAATCTCTAGTTCTTCACATAGCTTATGTGAAATGAAGCTAACAGTGTCACAAATCCTGATTTCAATTTATGCCTAAGAAAAACGAAATGTCCAAACACATTTTTTCCAATTTTGGACATCAGATACCCTAGGCAATCATCGCCAATAACAACACAAAGACAATGAGTTAGTGTTTTATGTGTTGACTGATTTGTGTACCTACTTAGTCCACTAACTCATGAATGTGTTCTTCTTTGAAGGTGTTGTTGTCTGGTTTGTGTACTTAGTCCACTAACTCATTTCGCTTTTAACTTCTGGTTCTTCTTGTCAGTTTCTTAAGTCACTCTAGTTGATTAAGCTTTTTTTTGCAGCTTTAATTTGTTAAGCATGTTATGTGATCTCAATTGGTGTTTGTTTATTGAGTTCTTGCAGCTTTTTTTGCAGATTCTAATTAGTTTCTTCAGTCATTCTTGTCTTTTTAGTTTTGTTTAGGGTTTAATATCAGTTAAAGACTCTTGATTTTGATGTTTTGGTTTGTAACAGGACAGCGCAGCGATTGTTATAAAGCTATGCTTTTGTCGAATTCTCAGGTTGGAAAATTTTCTTCACAGCATCAGCATAGCTAAAGCGGTATGTTTCTCATCGTCTCATTCCTTTTCTCATCTTGCAAGCCCACATGACTCACGCTTCTCCCTGATTCTAATTCTGAAATTTTCCCTTTTTGTTTTGCTCCTTTCTCCATTGAATTTGTCTGAAATTCTGAATACAGTGAACAGAAAGCTGTGAGATTTCATTAATCCCTTTACAATTTCTCGTAAGCTTGTCTCCATAAAAATCAGATTTCCATAGCAATGAAATCTCTTGTTTCAAATCAACTGAACAACTGTCTTTTGAGTTTTAGATTCGTATCATTAGCTAACTTGAGAAGGGGTCATGGTGTGGTGTAACCATTGTGCGAAGAATGTTCCCGGAATTCGCCCCTTCGACGGTGGTTTGTAAGTAATGTTTTTACGTTTGAAATTTGAGGGTTTCTATAAGAGCTAGGACTGAGTCTGGAAAGCTCTTGATTAAAGAGCTCTAGTTCCGAGTTTTTATGATGGATCGAGCGTCGTTGCCTTTTGTTTTGTAGGGCATGTGATTTATGTGGGAGGATTTTGGAAAACTTCAATTTTTCGACTGATGTTACATTCGTTAAGAATGCTGCTGGACAGGTTTAATTACTCAAAGCTCTCCTCTTATTCTTTAGACCTAGAATGACTTGATTGATTCCATGTACATACGTGTGTGATCAATAGACTATATATATATATATATATATATATATATTAGTATTGTCAAATCTTTTCTAAGATAAAAGATGTTCTCTAGCTAGCTAGTGGTTTGAAATTATTTCTGTGTGCCTGCAGAGCCAAGCGTCAGGTAACATAGTGAAGAGTGTTGAAAGTGGGAGTTCGAGCTCACGCGAAAGAAGATTGGGAATAGGTATAAGAATTTCTGTTCACGGTTGGATACATGATGATCTCTAATCTTCAGCTTTCCTCTATGTTCGATTTAATCTTTACCACTTGCCAGTTTGCTCATCTTTTTAGCCTAACTCCTAATTATTCTCTATTTCACATCCTTGGATATCCTGCCAAACAATTGAGGCCATGTGACTGTTCTGAAAAGTCATTATTGCATTGTTAAATTCTTTAGATATGTTAGTTTGCTGCTCTTACAGAGAGAGAGACGCACCTCTTTTGTTTTTGTTTTTGTTTTGGCAGCTACATATGAGTTAAGGAATTTGAAAGATGCCTTGGGAATTGGTGATGAGAAAGAAGATGTGGTTAGAATGGCTGCCAAAATCTTTGAAGTATGTTTAGGTTTTTACATATTGTCTGAATGAATATTAATCAATCTGTCAGGATTCTTTTACACCGTACGTCTAACTTTATTTATCTTCCAAAGATGGCAATTGATCAAAACTTCACTAAAGGGCGCAGAACTGAACTTGTACTGTCTTCCTGTCTCTACTTGACTTGCAGGTTAGAATCTTATATAGTAACCCTACTTATAGTATGTTTCCTTGTATGTTTGTTAACCAAATACTTTGTTTACTTGTAGGGAAAAGAAAATTCCGTTACTTCTTATTGATTTTTCAAGCTACCTTCGAGTTAGCGTGTAAGAGTTGTTTTCATTCCCATACTTGTTCTTTTTATTTGATTGCCTAATTACCTGTTAAGTCTACTACAGAGTCAGAGTAATGCTTTTATTGGTTTCATGTCTAGTTACGAGCTAGGTTCTGTGTACTTGCAACTCTGTGAACTGTTGTACCTTGTGGAAAACAACAACTATGAGGAGCTTGTTGATCCTTCAATTTTTATTCTTCGATTCGTAAACAGTAAGTATGTTGTCTTTGGCTCACATTCTTTTTCTTTATCAGCTTGATGATGCATATTTTTTTATTACTTGGTGTAAACAACAGTCAAAAATACAAACAATTATATCAATAATTCATTATACACTTGAAGGTTTATTGAAGGGTGTAGACAAACAAAGGAAAGGAGAGTTTGAGAAAACGGTTAGAAGCATTATATCTAGTATGAAGAGAGATTGGATGCAGGTGCGATTTTATTATTTAAAGTATAGTTTCCTACATGTTCTTTTTGTCTTATTTATTATTTATTATGGCTTGTGTTAATTAATGTTGGCGATCTATTTGGCTTGAAGACCGGCCGGAAACCAAGTGGAATATGTGGAGCAGCAATTTACATAGCTGCACTTTCTCATGGTATCATGTGCTCTAGAGCAGATATTGTAAGAATGTGACTAATGTTATCAGATAAGAGCAAGGAGATGGATATATCGATTTGATGTGTGTTTTCTATATGTTTCAGGCAAAAATGGTGCATATGTGTGAAGCAACAATAACCAAAAGGTTGAATGAATTTGCTAATACCGAGGCTGCAAGTTTAACTGTGAGTAATTTCTTTTGCAGGATTATGTTACAAATTGTTTCTAGTTGTAAAGTTATACACTAATTAGATGTTGTCAATTTTAATTTTGCCTCATATTACTGATACAAGATATGTCATCAAGTATTGTTTAGAAAGCATCATGCTTGAGAAGCTTCTTAATCATTCTTTTAAGTATTTTCTTTTTATGCTAAACTAAGAGATTTAGATACTTTATTTATTTCACAATGCTTAAATCGGTTTGTAAGAGTCTATATAAGACTCTCAAAATCATCAATAAGAATAAACTTCCAACAATAACCTAATTCTCTAAGAGAGGCTTGGGTTAAAGGGAAGCTTGCTTTCAATCTTCTTGTTCTCTAAGTTAGGCTACACTTCTAATCTAGTCATTACGGAGAAAGTAGAGGGTCCTTTAACAAGAGCAAAAGCAAAGGCTTTTGCTCATAACAATTACTTGTTGAGATTTCTGTTGATTCTTTTTTAAATGTTGTATATGCTTGTCTAGGTTTTTAAGCTTGAAGAAAGCGAAAAGATATTGGTTGATGAAAGGGAAAAGATATTGCGTGAAAACCCTATTACCTCAAAACCAAACTCTGATAAAGGAGTAGTGAACTGTAAACATAAAGATTTAGAACCTTTTGCTTATGGATTATGTAAGAGCTGTCACGATAAGGTAAGTCTCCGGACTTGTCTCTCTTTCCATACTTTTGACAAATGGCTCCGAGAGTTTGACAACCAGAATTTTTTTGGCAGTTCATTATAATTTCTGGTGGAGTTGTTGGTGGGTCGGATCCTCCTGCTTTCCAGCGAGCAGAGAAAGAGAGAATGGAAAAAGCAGCTAAAGAAGACAACGAGGGAGGAGGAATTGGTACGTAGCATACCCACAAACGATGAACAACTATCAAAATAGATTTAAAAGTTTTTTTTTTGTTTTGCTATTGGTTTGAGCTCTTAAGAATATTTTTATGTGTTGTGTGTCTCAGAGAAAAGTGAAGGAGAAACAGATTGGGATGCTGAAGCTTCGGATGAATCAGGCAATCTTTCTGACCTCGATGGTGATGCTGAGGTGGGAAATCATTTTTGCTTCCTTGTGTAGTATATAGAATGTTGCTATCTCGGCCTATTTTCCTTACAACATTTTCACTTTACTATTTGATGGTTGGTCAAAATACTTCACTGTGTCCCAGGTGGATGGCTGTTTTCTCAACGAGGACGAAATGATCATGACGAAGATCTCATGGGAGTTAGAAAACAGACCATATCTTGAGGTGATAGGCAATATCATCTATCTTCTCTTGTATTCCTTCTGAGTTGTTATCAACATAAGAATCTTACCAAATTATATTATTATGTAGGAGCAAGCAGCTAAGGAAGCAGCTCTGAAGAAGGCTAGTGAAGCTTTCAATGCTAATTGCCCAGAATACGCAAGAAATCTTGTTGAAACTTCTAAAGCATCTGTGATACAATCTAGAAAGGTGACTCAGATTTGAAACTTTGCAATTATATGTTCATGGTTTATGTCAAGTATCTGACTTAAAATAATATGAAGTCCATTAATGATGACCTATATGGTTTCTCAATCAAACTCTCATTTCTCTCTTGATATAGGAAAAGCGTCAAAAACGTGCTGAGGAAGCAAGGAACGCGCCTCCACCAGCTACAGCCATGGAAGCAGTTTGCAGAACACTTGAGAGGAAGGTAAGAAAATATATTGTTATCGTTTGTCAAAAAATATATAGCTTTTGAAGAAAAACGTCTGGAATTTTCTTGTGTTTCTGATTTTGAGACTTAATTATACAGAAACTTAGTAGGTGTATCAACTACGGTGCTTTGGATGAACTCTTTGGTACTTCTGTAAGTTTATTACCCTCTCTTTTTGTTTCCTTAGTTCTCATCATCACTTTCAGGTCTATACAATTTTGTTCTTGTTTCTTCTTTCAGCCATCTGAGAAGTCACCGAAGAAATCGAGAACCGAGACAGTTACAGAGAAGAAGAGGGAAGAGAAGGAAGACCATGAGATTGTTGAAGATGAAGAAGATGAAGAAGACTACGCAGCACCATATGAGATGAACGCAGATGAGAAATTCTATGAAGACGAAGTGGAAGAGGAAGAGGATGGTTATGATTTTGGATTGTACTAATGCTAACTTCATGTCTGTCGCGTAAAAAACAGAAATGAACCATTAAAGGAACTCTCATAAAGACAAGTGAAACAGAAGTTTTGGGATTTTGGAGTGAAGAGAGAAGACAAACGAATTCTCAGAATGTGTGAATTGTTTTTGCTATAGAGAGGATATAAGAATGTAAATGTTGGGTGTCTCATCATAGAAGCTTGGAAACAAAAGTTGGAAACTGGTCTTTTGTTCTGCTCTACCAATAAGTATCTCTCTATATGAGTTTTCCAATCTCATATTAAGAAACTGGTCTTCCCTTCTCTGATCAACTACACAGCTGAATAAACATATAAGCAAAAATATAATTCACATCCAAAAGGTTTGAAAAAGAAAACAACAATTTGTAGAACGTAGTTTTAAGGATGCTTGCCACCGAGTCGGGTCGAATAATTCGGTTATTCGGGTAGTTTGGAATTCGAGAAAATGTTACCGAAAATAACCAAATTAAACAACGGATCGGTTCTTTGCGTATCATGCTTTTTCGGTTATTTTTCCTTGTTAGCTAAATTAACCGAATAGTTTAGATTTTTGGTTAATTTGGTTAATTAGTAAAATCGTGTCGATTATCTCAATTAATTTTGGTTAATTAAGGTACATTCAGTTAATTCGGTTTAATTAGTTCGCTTAGAATGGTTAATTTTGGGTAATACAGATAATTTGGTTATATCAGTTCGGTCAGTTCGTCTAATTGCAGGTAATTTGGTTAACTTTGGATAACCGTCAGTTAAGGTGAATCAAATCAAACCAAACCAAACCAGTAACCCAACTGCATAATATAATTTCCTTCGATCGGTTTTTTCTCTTAACCGTAACCATACCGAAAACCAAAATCTCGGTTCGCTTTGGTATTTTTGGTTTCTGTAATAATCTATACTAGATTTTACCCCGTGGTACACCACGGGCCTAGTATTTTATATGTATCTCTTATGAAAAGTTTAACCGTTATATACAAAGTTTCTTTACATAACTTTTGATTGCCAACATGAACAATGTAACCTATGTGGTTTATATATTGAAAAATATGCTAGATGCGTACTTGTGCTAGAGGAGGAGAGAAATTTTTTTTTTCCTTTTTGTTAAACGAAAACATACTTTTACCCCGTGGTACACCACTGGTCCATTTTCTTTCAAAATTTATATGTAATATTCGTGATTTTGAGTAATAAAATGAGAATTTTCGAGAAAACCCCATTTGGTGTTTCCGTTTTCAAAAATACCCCTTTCTTCTATCAATTTTCAAAAATATCCCTTTTTATATATGAAAAAATATAAACTTTTATATGGTTGATAAGCTACATTAAGATCATCATTACTACTGGGAGACTAAATCCAAATATTTATAAAGTTCAAAAAGTTATAAACAGCATTTATAAGGTTTTTAAAAGGTTTACAAAGTTTTATAAGATTTTTAAAAGGTTTTTAAAATGTATTTATACGGTATTTATGAAATACATATATAAATTTATACACATATAAAGATAATTTGTGTCTATAAATATAAATATAAGCTTACACATATTTTTTTGATAAATTTCAAATTAGTGTTTTTGATAAAATTAGAAAGAGCGTTATTTTTAAAAAATATTAGAAAAGAGGTATTTTTTAAATTCTCCCTAATAAAATGATTGAGTTTATAAAGTAATTAATATAAATGTTATAGTGTTATAATAAGATAGATTAACATTTTTGAAGTACCTTTTGTGTTCTAGCCTTTTATTTTGTAATATTTGCATAATTAAATCCTTACCATTTGATTAATAGAAAAAGTTTAAGATAAATTTTGTAATTAAATCATAATAAATTTGCAAAATTAGAAATCAATATTGATTAAATTTAACAAAATTTCCTAAAATCTCTCCCTAATAAATCAAAGATTTCTCCAACATCTTTATATGATCTTATTTGTTTTTAAATTTATATTATTACATAAACATATGTATAATAAAAATATATTTTTTTTCGCATATGTTGCAATTTGAATTTTTAGAAACAGATGTATATTACTCAAACGATACAAAAATGTATGTACTAAAGTATTATTGATAATTGTGTAGCACGGGTCATGTGATGGAACGGGTTATAATTTACATAATTATGATTATAGATATTTTTACGGGTTGTCTACTATAGTATAACTCACAAAAATATTTTAATATGAAATTATATTATGTAAACGAATATTATGTCAGTATCATTTCATTATTTTAAATATTATACTATTTAATTAATTTAATCAAATTACGATTATATAAAAAATAAATTATCATATAATATTCTACGGGTTAAATCATAAACTTAACAATCAAAATATAGTAATACACTCTTATATACCAAACAAAAATAATAAAAAAATACATTTTAAAATGTCGTTACGCGGTGTATCGCGGGTTAAAACCTACTCCCATAGTATGAAAATCAAATGGAATTTTGTTTTTTTGTTTGGGGTCAAAATTGAAGTTTTGTGCTATTTGGGGTTAAAAAAGTTACAAATTTGTTCCTTTTCTAATCAAGAACTAATTTTCTTTCTCAAACCTCCGCTTCCGCCACTGTGGCTCGCTTGATCGTCGTCGTCCGGTGATCCATCTCTCACAGTCGAAGGCAAGTCATCGACTCTTTTTTTTCTTATTTATGTTAAGATCCAATGTGACTTTTACTCGTAGTGAAAATGCTGATTTGTAAATGCTTTTGTTTGGTTCGCCATTTGTGATATGAGATTATCATTTATACTTTTCGTTGATTCTGATTCTTGTAGCTATCGAATTTCTTAGGTACTGTATGGTTAAAGATTTGATTTTTTTATTGGTGTTTTGGTTCTTGCGCACCAAGTGTTTGATGAAATTACTCAATGAACATTTTCTCTTTTGTTCACAGGTCATTTGTTCCAGTTTGGTTTAAGACGAAGCTATGAAGAGTTTGATATGGTTAACGGCAGAAGAAGCTGCAAAGAACAGAGGGAAAGTTCTTTCTTTGTACCGACAACTACTTAGGAGCATCAACTCGCCGAGATTGCAGCTTAGTTACGCGTCAAGACTTGCGAAGAAAGCTGAAGTTAGGACCATCTTCTTGTTTGGTTCCGAGGAGATTTCAAAACACAATGTTACCGATCTTATCCGTACTGCTGAATATGCTCTTTCCCAGTTAAAACAAGGCAAAATCCCCAACAACACCACTCAGTACTGAGTCATCTTACCATTGTTACACATTCATAGATATATGTGGCTTCATGCTCATATCATTATCAGTCTTTCCATTTATTTGGAAACCTTATATATTGAGATCAGCTTTACTATGTAACTCACAAGGCATGTTTCCTAGTATTAACAAGAATGTGGTGCTTAGAAAACATATCGTGTATGTTTGCATTTTGCTCGCGAGTCGCGACTGTACATTTATAGACATGTTTGGTACTCTCCAATCTTGATGTATTTCATTTATTGGCAACTTTGAGATTGTTTCGACACATTGCTCAAAACTAAGGTATCCCAATGGAAAAGTTTGCACAATTTAGATTACCAAACAATCCAGTTAGGAGTAAAAGAATAATATAGTGAACTCATGTAAATTGATAATAGTAGAATTGTTTACTTTCACAAATCCACGGCTTAACACAATGTTTATAATTTGTAATTTGACAACAAACTCTACTGGCTCGTATTTTAAAGATTCTACCAAAACTTAGCATCACAAAACTCAAAATCATTAGTCAATAAAACACTAAAAATGCTCTCATCCTTAGTTCTCTTGTCCTTCGTCTATCTTCTCAGCTTTTTGTTCTCCAATCCGTGGCCGTCTCATAGCTGGATAAACAGAGAAAGATGAAGAACCACAATGTCACAACTTGTAGGAGTTTCATCATTTTCTTTGTATGTTTTATATAACTGTACACACTGAAAAATACTCACATTTAAGAGCTGACCCGGCAAGACATGTAAGCCTTGATTTAGTATTTGTCTCGGCTAATGGTTTTGTGTTCTCTTTAGCCGCCATTCGCACATCCCAAACACGTATGATCCCATCAGACGAAGCAGAACCAATCAAGTATGGATCTTCCAAGGAGCCGTCACTATCATTCCTGGTAAGCACAACAATACCTTTGATCCGAGCTGGGTGAGCATCTTCTATTGAATAAGCAAGCTTCCCACTATTTGTATCCCAAGCTGTTATAGCCCTATCTTCACCACCTGTGAAAAGAGTTCCACTCTGTTGCAAAATTAACCAAACATATTAGCCAATAAACAAAGTATCACCATTTCCAATAAAAAAAAACGTAACCACGACATCAACGAGCAACCGAGAACTGTATTTAGCCAAAGAGGTCGTTTCGAAGGCTTTAAAGATGGTAGGAACTTCTGAAATTAAAACTACAACAACATAAGCTTAAACTGAACACACCATTGAGCAAAAGAAGAAAGCTTTTACTGAAAGAAGTTATCTATCTGCACATAAAAGGACATATTTTCCCAAAAGTGTTATCATAGTCTAAAATACTATGATAGCCTCAAATTAAATCTCCTTTCATGGTTTCAAGAAGGTCGACTCTTCTGCAATGTACACACTTAAGTAACATAGGACTAAGCATTGAAAGAAACAACAACCGAGTCGGAATCACGCAGCTCTAGTTCAAATTAGACAGCATTCATAGTAAACCAATAAACAACAAGCTCAGAATCTCAAAGTTGCTAACACAGAATCCAATTAAGAGACTAAAGATGCAATTGTGGAAACTATAAGAGAAATTAAAGCTTCCAAAGGGTAAGAAAAACCACCTCTCCTGGAGTAGCGCAGAGTATACGCTTGCGGCTCGGATTCTCAAGCTCAAGAAGAAGCTTAGCATCTTCAGACTGATGAACTCCAACTTTATTATTCACAACCATGAAAAAACTATCACCACTTGGATCAAACTTCACAAGACTCGCCTCATGACCTAACCTACAACAAAAACTCCTCTTCCCTCTAACCAAATTCAACATCGTAAAGAACTCATCACGATAAACAGCTAAAGCAAGCTTCCCAGAAGGATGAATCGCCAAATCGTTTACCGCCTTCTTATGAGGACGAAAGGATTTAAGCAAAACAAAAGGATCAGTATCAAATATGGCGACGGAGCCATCTGCGGCGGCGGAGATGAGATTACGAGGGAAAGAGAGTGAAGAAGGTGTGTAGAAGGCGAGAGCAGTGATTGAGGCTGTGTGGTTGTGGTCTAGGAGAGAGCCCAGGGAAGAAGCGGAAGGAAGATCGTAGAGATGGATTGTATCGTCGGAGCCGCCGGAAGCAGCGGCGGGACCGGAACAAGCGACGGTGGTGATTGGGGAGATGTGAGATGGGTAGGAGAAGATAGTGGAGAGAGTTAGGGTTTGGTTATCGGGGTCGTGCTTTGTGGGTTTAAGCTTGAAACCCCAAATGAATCTCTCGTAGGAGCCTGCGATGATACTCATTGTTGCTTCGATGAGAGGTTTCGAATGTCAAAAAGTTTGATTGAAACTGTTTTTAGGGTTTTAGGTTTTTATGGAAGAGGAAGACAATGTTTTGTAAATTGAACCGGATAGTAAACCGGGTAATTTTGTGGTTTTTGGTTTAAACTTGATGGCACGATTAAACCAATTGATGCATCTATACTATTAAGCTCAAGTACCCAAAAAAAAATTACACTAACGTTTTCAAATGAAATAAAATACAATGTTCATTAGATTTACATGCGGATCTAATTATTCAATCGATATTGTAATCGGATTTAGAGATTTAATCTCCATTGTTCATTTTTTCTGTTGATAAAAAGTTAAAATTAAATTTGGTTTTCAAATTTTTTTTAAAAAAATAATTATTATGTTTGATATTTAACTTTATTTGTACTATACAATACCTAAAATTTAGCTTGATTGGCAAGATTTTATTAATTTCAAATCTTTTTTTAGGACCTTGATCGAAATTTGAAACATAGAATATTTTAATATTTTTTTAATAGTTACATGGAATTAGATTATTTGTTTTAATAGAAACTACCAAATTTTTTGGAATTTCCATTTAATATAGTTAACTTTTTAAACTATTTTATATTTATCTTGACCTACCTAATCAATCTAACATTTTATAAATACATTTTTTGTTATAACTTTTTATACGTAAGAATTGTATAAATAAACTTTTGCCATTTCATTATAATATATTAAAAATTTGAAGGATTATTTATTAAAAATAATTATCCTACTCGATTTTCTTTAGCATAGATTCTTATTTTGAAATATCTATTATGGTAAGATCAATTTCGCACAGTAAAATCAATGCAAAATCACCCAAAAAAGGCTAAAATATCTCGGCTAGCACATACTTTCCTTTTTAATCGACTCTTTTAAATGTATAACACAAACAAAAAAAAAAAGAGGAAATATTTCCTTGGACAAGGATGATGGATTTTAAATGTAAGATATTCTATATTTTTCTTCTAACCTAACAAACCTAACTAGCCGATTTCAGACCTAACTATTCTATGTTTACATCTGCTAAAATGTAAACATATAAAAAGTAACTCTAATAGTCTCCGATTTCAGACCTATTCCTGAAAGAAACCAAACAGATACATTTCCTCAAGGAGTCAGGCTATACCACAACAAACTGAAAGGTTCTACACCCTGGAAAAGTTTGTCATACCTTTCACTCTACATTTTTAAACACCCAACAAAGGATTTTAACATGTAACATTGTTAACTATGTCATTGGTGACAAGCAAGCGCCACAAATGTCATCGCTCTTAAGGTTTTGGAGATATCCTAACTTCTAAGATCAAAGAAAATGATAGGGTTGCTCTCAATGTCTGTATCCTCAGTGAACAGCCGCAGAATTTAATTGAATACTACTTAACGAAACACTAAAAGAATCACAGAGTATATAACAAGAAAATTCCATAACAGAAGCATCTTTCACGAATTGGGGTGATGAGCAGATGAAGAAACTGGAAACATAAAACTTACTTACCACTAACAAAGAGTTTCGTCTTTGGCACAGAGGAAGACGATGACGAAGAAGAAGAAGAATCCGAAGAGATACAGCTAGAAATCATTAACCCGCCCATATCACGGCGTCGGCGAGTC